ATAATGTGACAAAATTTTTAGAGGATTGACAATATTTATAGCTTTATCAATTACTTCACACTTTTGGAGCCAGTAAAACCTTTGAAAATTTTTGTTCAAATTTTTTTTTTTTGTAATTGGCTATTATTAATAAATAGATCATTTGCGCTTTAAATGAATCCTTTTTTAACTGCCCCCCTTAAGAATCAAATTGCCCCCTTGTGGGTTGTAGGCAGTGGCGTAACGGAGAATATTAGGCCCCACCCCCCACAAAGTTAGATTTGGGGCAACAGGCCGGATTTTACAAAGAGTATGTACTTGGCTACAGTCAGGCTTTGGGCCCCCTGGAATCCTGGGGCCCCCGCGATGCGAGGGTGCATGTTACGTCACTGGGCGTAGGCCCCATGTTGAGAATCACTGATCTAGACTGAAAATTTTTTTATGCAGTAATTTCTTTATCCAGATTTCTTCTGGATGTCTCTGCCTAGTGCCAAGATGGCCAATCCAAATGACCCTGCTGGCCACTTCGGAAAATCATTATATTCCCTCGGGCCGCATACACAAATATGTATCTTTATAATTCATTTGAATCCATTAAAAATGTTTATTGGAGTGAAAATTTAAAACTGAGAATGACGTATTATTGTTTTCGTTGTTTTTCATGCATACAAACATAGATAATATAATAATTCAATGATCAAATAATGTTTAATTTAATTAGCAAGACATTTGCTTCTCAACTCTTTTACTTAATTTTTGCAAGTTGATCTCAATGCTTGTATTTGCGCATTGTAATTGATGATGTAGGTTCTCGTCCGTAGAGTTTGAACGCGATTTATGTTTCATAAATTTTATTTTCGAAAGAAAAGAAGATTCGTGGTAACAGAAGCAACGTGGTAAAATAGAAACAGTTATGGGATTTGTTAAAAAAACACAAAAAACAAAAATATTGCACAAAATAGTCTTATTCTGTAAATTTCAACACAGAAAAATATCTCCATATTTTTTAAATAAGCGACAATGCCATTTTATTGTAATACGCATTTTTATTTATTATACAGTATTCTTAACATTTCGAAGCACTTAATAAAAACGCTGTTTTTCAATTGAATAGGAACAATTAAGTATCAGTTGTTATTTGAGCATATATATATATATATATATATATATATATATATATATATATATATATATATATATATATATATAAATTATTCAGTGACAGCTTTAGAAATCATAATAAGTCTCCATTTTAGTCTAAAGACTCTTTTCGTATCTTCAATTATTATGTTTCTTGAACTCGAATTTCTTTTCGCTTTGTATCTTATTTTATTTTATTATGCTAATATATATATATACAGTAGCACACACTAGGGGGGTCCTGATTCCGACCACCCCAACAAGCCCGATGAATTTTCAGATTGATTATAATTTTATGTATATATAGCATGTAAAATTTAATTATGTATTTTTTATTTATGATTAATTTTATTAATCAATGCTAATTTTTATTCAATATTTAATTTTTTAGTGTTTCTTCTTCCCAAAAATCAACAAAATCAAGAGAATATGCTGGGCGGCGTATTGGAGCACGATACGAGAATGGTGGGCTTACTGACCCTGGAGTCCACTTGAAAAATTCCTGAGTGCGCTACTGTATAATATATATATATATATATATATATATAAAGGTTTTTCTTAAATTAAAAAATAAAATAATTTTTGCGTTAGATTAACTATAAAATACTATTAATTGTATAAAAAACTGACACAAATATGTTAAGTCTTACCAAGAGATATATAAAACCGTGGTATTATTTTGAAAATACTAATAAATACGATGAACTTATTCTTATCCAACTATTTATCCAAACAAATGGCTAAAACTCAATATTTTTTCTTGTTTTTTTTTGAGAAAATTTTTTCTAAATTTAAACATTTATTTTTGTAGATTAATCTGTGAATGAAAAAATAACTTAAATATCAGCAAAACCTTATCAATTTACTTATGAAATATTTGATTACACAATTTTGAAACATTTATGTTAAAATATTTAAAAATGTAATTATATTTTAATGAATGAAAGAAAAAAATGAGAGTATTCCCACATTCTAATTTTATTAGAAACTTATTCAAAATAATTTATTTATACAAACTGAATATTTATGGTATAAAATTTTTTTGGTAAGACATGTTGAGCTACATGAGTTCTAATTACATTTTACGAAACAAGATGGCAGCACAAACAGATTATATAATCGCCACATTAGGTTATCGAATCTGATAATCTATGTGTGTGAGTGTGTGAAATATATTTTATTTCTCAATTTCACTCGAACTTATAGAACTTTAATTTTTATTGCTTGAATATACTAATTAGTCTATGAATTCTGAAAACTGAAAAATGTGTTCATGATTTAAAACTGTTTGCTGAACTTTATGTGTAGCAATTTTAAAAAAAATTAACATTCTTACAATAATGTTGGGTACAAGTTTAAAAACCCTTTTTTGTTTGCATAAATATGTTCTTGATGTTATTTTTTAGAAGTGTTTCAGAAACTTTACTTTAATTAAAATTCGCATTTATTAACTACTTAAAAGGGTTCTGTATTAGTTTAGTAAAAAAAGCATTATGAAGTTTCTAAATATGACGTCAAATATTTATTAATAAAACAAATCCATTAAGAAAAAGGACAATCGTTTTATTTTCTTCCGTGGGTAAAACTTTTAATAGTTATTTCACATTATTTTGTACAATTCAAAAACTCTGGCCCATGGGGGGATCGAACCCACGACCTTCGCGTTATTAGCACGACGCTCTAACCAACTGAGCTAATGGGCCACAAAAATTCGCTAAATAATAAAGTACCAAAGCAAAATATTAAACTTTGTGGTGCCATCTAACGAGGATTTATAAAAGATGTGTGTAATATGCCTTTATTTAAAGTTGACAGACCAATAAAAGAGAATTTTACATTAATTTTTGAGGAATTTATACGGAATCACACAGAGCGATACATTAAAGGGCCCCACGAAAGGAAAAATGAAGCATCAAGTAGAATACAATTATTCGAAAGCAATGCAGCTCGTAGAAAAAAGCAACAAGCGGAAATGAAAAAATAAGTTTTAATAAGTTTTGGTGCAATTTTCATTTAATTCAATTTATGCTTTCATTCAATGGAGTAACATACATTCCCGAACTCCCCGCATATCGGTGTGTGAGGGGAGGGGAGGGGAAAGCCTAACAAATCCCGAGTGCGTATTTAACCAATTTATGAAGGCAAAACTGACTTTGCAAGAGGCTCCAATATACTCTGTTTCGTCAATTTATTCATTGGGCGCTTGGGGAGGGTGGGCTAAACATGATTTTCTCATTATAAATTTCGATTCGCCAGTGTCAAGGGGCCCGTAGATCTTTTGCGCCAAGGGCCCGGCATGAGCTTAAATCGGCACTGGTTACGTGAGTGCTTTAATTAAAATATAAATCCACTCAAAATTACCAGCAAACTGATTTGCTGAAATGAAATCTTAATCTAAAATAAAATTTACAGCTGAATAAAAAAAAAAAAAAAAAAAAAAAAAAAAGAAAATTTTAATATTAGATGCAAGTTTTTACACTCGAAAATGAAACTTTAGGGAAGGTTAAGTGGAGCTCTTTTTTTCTGGAGATGTTTTTACATCGATTTTATTAGGTATTTATGAAGAGTATTTTTTATTCATATATATGTATATAGTAGATGTAGTCGGTCAACAATTTACCGAAACCTTATTTAACGATTTTCTCGATTTAACGAATTTTTCTTTTCCCCAATAAAGGCAAATAACCCCCATTTAACGAATACTAAACTCAAAATTAAGAAACAATTTCAACAGGCAAAAAAAAAAAAAAAATTCTTCTAGTAGTTTGAATAAGAAAAAAAAAATCACTTTTCTTTTAAAATGACTTATTCTTTTTGTCAGGAACAGAAAAAGACTTTTCTTGTAGACTGCATATTTCGACGGCAAAGGGTGCAGCCCATTGTTAGACTTTACAGGTGCAGATGAGACAGTGCCGATTTCAGCTAATTTCGGTCCCTGGGCGCAAAAGATCTACAAGCCCCCTTGGCATTGGCGGATCGAAATTTATTACCAGAAAACCTGATTCAGTCCAACTTATCCGGGCCCTTACGAGCTTGGCCCTTTGGACTTAACACCCTGCGGACGTCTGTAACATTCAGTGAGAGTGCTCTAGTCATGGCTTGACGTAACAATTAAATGTCAAATTAAAAACACATGATGAACGGCTGCTTTTTAAATTCCTACTATTAGTTCATACTCTCCCTATACAATAGAATAGGATACTCAAACTGCGGATTCTTCTTGCATGGAAGTCACAATCTCGTCATCATTTAGCACTTGAAATCCACAGTCTTCTGAATCGTATATATGCCATCCAGGTTTCTACATCTTCTTCATCGCATTCTTTAAATCCTAAGATCCTTGGGGAAGTTTTGTCTCTATGTTCTTCCGTTTTGAATTCGAAGCCATGGCAGTTCACAACTCAACAAGAAAGCACGTATACCCCCCTCACTTGGAAACAAACTGACCTAATATTCCGCGCAGATGTTTACCAAATCGCACAACTAAAATTCCCCAAATATCCATGACCTTGGGTTTTCCGTGACTTTTGGCCTCACGCGAAACAACTCTTGGGCATTGCACTGTTCGAAAACGTATTCATATACAGTGCATGTAGTTGACAAAAAAAAAAAAAAACCTGCTCCGGATATTTGATACTCCCTAAAATAAACGTTCGGATAAACGACGCTCTACTGTGTACCATATATACACATCTTGTTCAAATTTTCAATAATTTCTATTCATACATTCGAGTTCAAATACATTATTTAAAACTTGTAGGGGATGACACTTGATGTTAACAGTTTTTTCAAATATTAATTCATTAATGAAACTAAAAATGAATAAACAGTAACAAAAATAGTCTAACACCATACATAGAAAGGAAAACTGTTCGTTGAGTCCCTGTAGCGCAATCGATAGCGCTTTGGACTCCTAATTCATAGGGCGTGGGTTCGAATTCCACCTGCGAGGACCTAATTTGTGAGAATGCTATTTCTTTTCTACTATACTATTTTTTTAGAAAGATTAAATTTAATGAATAAACCGTAACTAAAAAAAACCAAAAACACCCTATAGAGCAAGGGTGGTGAACCTTTATGGTCATTTTTTTCTAAAGAATAGTCTTATGAGATATAGATATATATTTTCAAATAATTCTGGCTTGCGATTATTGGGAAAATAATAAAACTAAATGCTAACAAAACCCAAAACTTTTTATTTGCTTCGAAAAATAAAATTTACACTGTATAGTAGTAAATGCATTAGTAAAACATGCAATTTAAATTAAAGTAGGATTAGTGTGATTTGTTGCAGATTAGATAAGAAATAACTCATATTAGTATTGTAAGGTTACTTTTAGTAGAGTGCATACTGAATTAAAGTGATATGCTAAACGGTTTCGTAGGGAGTCTTTAATGTTATTCATCTCTGAAAATAAGCATAGGTAGATAAAAATGGGGTTAAAAGACAAACTAGCTTCTCTAAATAGTTAAATATGTCTGGAATCAAATCCTCACCGCCGATCACTCGCGTTTGTTTGTAATACTTCATAGTTATGTTATTTTGACGAGTGGAGTGCCCAAAATATTGTGTCGCGTGCCATCAGTGGTTCGTCATCCCTGCTATATAATATAGAAAGGAAAACGGCAAATTGCTTTCTATTTTGTCACTTATATAATATTGTGATTTTGTTATATGAATATACATATTTATATTAATTGTAACTAAATGCGACATAGTACTAAGAACATTTTGCCGAGAGCACCCAAGCCAGACATAGACACTCAATTTTCTGCATCATGAAAATGCACCGACTTGGGACGGGGCCGAACCCACAACCTTAGGGTGTACAAGGCCAGCGACAAACCAATTACGCCACTCCGCCGGCTGCATAGGATTTATAATCAACCGAAAAAAATTCAAGGGGGATGGGAGGATCCAGACCCTTGCCTTCCTTCGTGTGCGCCACTGTCTGTAAATATTATTTTAAGGTAAGCTCTTTCGAGTTTGTGTGGAACGGGGTTCCACGAAAATACCTAATATGTTCCGAGATTTCCACGTGAATTGAAAAAGTTTGAAGTCCATTGTTATAGATGTAATTCCAAGTACTCTGTGCTTGGAAATTTAAAATAAAATTTTACACTGGTATTTTCAGAATTTGTTTATTCAGTTTGAACTTTTATAACTTTTAATTATTAGCTTTATAAGAATTATAGGGAAAAAAATAAGGTTCTAATTTTAATTCAACAATAAAGGTATGTATACTACTTGAATACATACAAAGAATAGCACCAACCACCACAAAACCTGGCAGGAGCGATCTCGAGGACCCTGTAAAAAATTTATCATGCTTAAGCAAATGCGAAATTATATACAAGACAAATGTAAAATTATCATAAACCTCAGGATAGTGAAAAAAATTAAAACATTCGTTTTGAAAGATGCGATTGTTATTGCTTGACTTTGGCATTTTGTAAACGCAGTCATCTCACCACATTTGATGGGTTTCTTTTTGTTTTGTTTTCAAGAAAGACACTTTTTCTCACCATTAAGACATTATTATAAATATAAACTCAATATATGAAATATCTTATTTCCCGATAATAAAAATATATAACCCCATATTCCGTTGAGTAAAAAAATGAGAAGTTGAAATTTTCATCTATGTTACCGTTAAAGTGTATATAATTCAGTTATTTCACAGAATAAGTATTTCATAAAATAACTAGACAAGTCAGTTTAAAAGCCTCGGAATACAAGTATATATATATATAGATATTTCAGCACTTTTTGTATTCCTGGGAATGACACGGGGCTGAAATAATCCATCAAGTAGCTATTTTTTACTGGACTAGAGATTTCAACCTAGGCTATAAATTTCTGCTGACCCTACTGAGGCAATTTGTGATCGTTCTCCCCGAACTTTCCAGATAGAGGAATTTTCATTACCCCAGCAGTGGAGTAAGCGTGTATTAGGAGAAAAGTAACACCCATGAAGAGTCGAGAATTTTAGAAGTGAAACTTCTTAGCGCTCGAGAGTGAATGAGAAATTTGCCCAATTTTGCGTAACAGTGAAAAAGCCAACGGAAGTAGTCTCCCCCATCCCCCGGAATCGTCACCATGATGACAGGATAGCGAGTTAGGAGGAAAAGGGGGAGCGATGCGACCACGTGACTTGCGTCATATCCGTGTAAAAGTTGGATGATGGCTCACCTCCGATTGGTCAACTTGCCCACCTTCCTATTGGGGGTCCTTTCCCCCCAAACCCGGGAACATCTATCAACGGTTGTATGAGATGCAGTGACATTACGGTGTAGACAAAATAGCTCTCGCAGCAAAAGCGTGCTTTTTTGAACTATTTTCTTAGATTGTTTGCTACATGGCGATGTTTTCGGCGGCTAATTTGCCTTTTTGACTTTTATTTGCGTTGAATTATATTAATTGTAGTAAGAATGCCTAAATCAAATGCACAAAGAGGAAAAGTGTTTGGTGAAAGAAAAAAAGAAAAATTAGCAGCAAGTCCACAGTCAAAAAAAGTGACAAGAAAAAAAGCAAAAAAAAAAAAAAAAAAAACCAGAAAAATATTGCAAAATTATTAAGTGCTACTGCCGAATCTCCATCAGAGTACATGAGAGAATATCGAGCACGGAAAAAACCTCTGCAAAATACTCTCTTAATGCTCAGTTTAAGGGATGAGAATGCTATTGAGACTCTTCTAATGACTGCACAGATTAATACGGACTTAGTGAACCACCCTGTGCTATTCAAAACAAAGCCCTCAACAAGTCTAGTGCGTGTTGGAACTGGAGATGCATGTAAATCAATAATAAATTCTAGCTTACGTTACAAAGACTATGATTCCCATAAAACTGCTCACAAAGATTTTTAAAAGCGATCCATTGATAATCGTTCACTTGATACGGGCGTTCAATTTATGATAGAATATGGTTTAGACATGATTTGAGAACGTCTGTTGCTGATCACAAAAAAATATTTTACCGGGAATTAATTTAGAAGACACATTAAAGCATGCCTACAATTGTCGACAAAGTATAAACAGGAAAAGTATACGAAATTTATAGAAATATAATGGTATTGTATACCCAGAAATTCCAGGACATCTTTCTACTTTGGATTTGGTATCAGAAAGACTCATTTCGCCACGAATACCTTTCACGCAAATAAGGCGATTGAGACATGTGCTCGGTCAATTTGGACTATTAGGGTAAATAATCAATGTTCCAACGTCGCCAAAGAAGTTTCACTTCTATCGCGTGGCGTTCCTCGCAACATTTTTTTCATCTTGTCGCGGGTAAGAGTAAAAACTTGAAACATTTTGGTCAAATCTCCTGTCTATCGAACATCGTTTCATGAACTAAAACATCGCATCTCGTAACCTACCAGCACGACCAATCGGATCAAAGTTCCGAGATCTTGATTTATGTGGATAACGTAAGTATTAATACTCAAAATTATTTATTTAATTTTTAAAAACTTTTTTCGGATACTTGTCTTTATTATGAGCTATTTAACTGAATTAGTAATTTGAAGAAGGGAATGAACCAAAACAAACTGTTTTGGGGAGATGGCTTAAAAGTAATCTCTCGCAATTTTTTTTTAATCATTATTTTTCTTAACCCTTTCTTAACACTTTCGTGTGAGATTTCGTGTGATACCAGTACTAATAGAGGCAACTTTTTAGAATTGGTACATCTTCCGGCAAAGTACGACCCTGTTGTCAGAGCATTTAGTAAGAATAAAAATGTGTTAAAATAGTTCTCTCACTTAATGCGTCACCAAACAGAGTTTATAGAAATTTTAGGAAACAAAGTTCGCCAATTAAAGCTCGTGTCCAAAAGGCTAAATATTATTCCATGATTTTTGACAGCACCCCGGATATGTCCCACAAAGATCAAAAAAGCCAAGTAGTAAGATATGCGATGATGGAAAACCAGGAAGTTAGAGTAGAGGAATCTTTTACAGATTTCATTGAAACGAAAAACAAAACAGCAGCAGGTATAAGAGACATGATAGTAAGCAAACTTAAGACTGATGGGCTCGACATTATGAGCTGTAGTGAGTGAGTGAAGATTAACGTCGCACTGTTCAGCTGCACGAGGGCTTTTGGCGACGGACCACGTAATTTTGAACCATGGTCAAGTGACGTGGACGACACCTGAGCTGGCACCCCCTCTCCTAACTACCACACCACACCAACGGGAGGACGTTTCAGCTCTCGACAGATTTAGCGTGCATCGCTGCCCTACTCGGCGGGTCTGTAGTGGTACTGGGCTTGAACTCGTGACAAAGCCAGCCACGATCCGATGCCTATACCACTCGGCTACCGCGGCCACTATTATGAGCTGTAGAGGGCAAGCTTTCGATAATGCTGCCACGTTGGCTGGATGCCACACAGGTGTGCAACAGTGAATAAAAGATATCAATCCTAATGCCGAATTTGTTCCTTGCTCAAACCATTTACTAAACCTAGTTTGCGTACATGCAGCTTCAGTGGAGGGGGACTTTCTTTGGTACGCCAGAGCGCTGCTACTCTTTCTACGTCGACGCACCGATGGGAAGTTCTTGAATCCACAGGAAAATGTTTGAAGAGGATTCAGGACACACGTTGGAGCATTAGAGGTGATGCTGTAAATTACGTTAGACACCATTACAAAGAAACTAACTGCACTGGAAAAACTGAGGGAAACGAGTGAAAGCTTTAATACACGCACAGATGCAGGAAGTTTATTAATCGCTATGCAATTGTATTCGTTTTTATGTTACTTAGCTTCTGGCTACCGGTACTGTGTCAAGTCAGTGATGCTCAAAATTATTTGCAAACAGAGGGACTAAATAAAAAGTACGTGCTTTACAGACCGTATTAGAAGCAAAATGAGGGGAATTCGTGGACGACGCTTTAATATATGCTAAAAGCTTATGTGAAGATCTTGAAATTTCTTTTGAATCCCCAA